TAGACGGGCCATGGCCCGGGCATCAGAAGTCAGTAATGAGATTCATTAGATGCAATGTAAACAATTCCCTGCCTCAAGTTTTGATAAAGCAAACCACAAGCCACACCAGAGTACTTACAAGTGCTTGAAGAGCATTATAAGCACAGCATAGATGAGGAAATTGTTGAAACCCATCATAAAAATGGCCAAAAGATGCATAACCATAAAATAACTGGTTGAAAAGTGGACACACCCACTTCCTGGCCCTACCATTAACTTGCACCCAGATCCGCCACTGCTTGCTATACCGGGAAAACGAGCTCCTATGCTTACCAGACTTCTTAGAGGACCTTATCTTGACCAGAGGACTCCAATGGTACCACTAGCGTGGCTCTAGACCTTTTCTGGAAGAAAAAAAAAATCTGCAAACCGGCCGTTTTGTTCAGCCACCTCTTTTCATCTTCATCATCATCATCATCAAGTTAGTCCTGTCAATCCAGTTGTCGGTCGATATATCGATCTTGCCTGGTGATAGAAGGCTAATTCTTACACCATTCTACTCCAACAGGGTATGCGCAGGTCCTTGTCCCCTAAAATCATTCTCCAAGAAAAGAAGAAGTGATACTGTGACTGTTGGATCACAGTACCAGCTTACCTATATCCATTAGATACAGGATTTATCATTTTGCGGACCTCAGTAAAACTCCGGTTTTTAAACAGACAATCAATATAAATATGAAAAATGTGCATTACTGGGGCAGCAGGTTCCTGGTGGTTTAGCTGGGAAGGCGTGTGGCTGGATTTACCTATGTGCACTGGTTCGAATCCAGCAATGCTCTTTTTTTATTTTTTTTTTACTACTTAGTACTTACTAGTACTTAGCTATGTCCCATACTTATGTTAGGAGTCCCCTACTTGGCTATTGTTTTAGGGTTTAGGGATTAGGGTGGCGGTTTTTTTTTAGAGCGACCCTACTCATTTTAGGAGTCCCCAAGGTTAGTTTAGGGTTTAGTTTTTTTTAGAGTGTTCCCTAGTCATTTTAGGAGTCCCCAGTTATGTTATGTAAGTGGTAGAAATAGCCACTGCCATAACAATGGAGTTTTACGGAGATGCACGGAATGATAAATCCTGCGCCTAATGGCTTTACCAGCTTACCTCATGCCGCCATTTTATTAATTAAAGAAGCATCAAGCATGTGCTCCAAAATTTGGTCGTGGTCGCGCATGCTCAGATCTCAGGACTGGGAACAGCAAGTATTTTTACCTAGATAGGCTAGCTATGCTTGGAATCAAATTGCAATACTTAGTGGAGGTTTCCAGCTAAGAGAAGGTATTAATCTTGCATATATTAAGTATGTAATAAATTATTATTTTATTTCAAAAATACAAAACAATTAATCAATGTTATGATACTAATGATAATATGAACTTGACAACAGGAAGAACCTGCAGGAATAGCTACAGGATTGCTGGGAAGATAGAGCTTCTTGAACAAGGATTCACGTCAAGACTATAGTGTTCATTTCACTTGTCATCAGTATAGTAGATATTCCTTCACCATATCTATTCAATTCAATCAGTCCTATCCCTCATAAATGCTGTAAAATCATAACAATGACAACAATAATAAAGAAACTTATTGTTTGTGTAAAATCAAAAAGTATCACAATTGTAACTGAAAAAATATTATAAATAAAAAATCAACACAAACAAGAACATAAAAAATTAAAAAAAAACAAGATTGATTAGGATTCTGAACGACCAACGAAAATATGAAATGAAAATCCTACTCTCGTGACGCAAATTCTACTTTACATTGTAAGGTGATCCATAACTTTTAAATAATGACATTAAAAGTACAATGTAGAGTAGAATTTGCGTCACGAGAGTAGGATTTTCATTTCGTATTTTCGTTGGTCATTCGGAATCCTACTCATATCCCATATAAAAATTTCAAGGTTGCTACAACCAGGTCACAACCTCGCAAAGCTGTAGCAACCTAGTAACAACCTTGCATAAAAGTGTTGAAGTTTTGACCAACATGCAAGAAACATAACAACCTAGTGACAAGGTTGTCCGAAGGTTGACAGGAAACTGAGGTTTCATTAAGTGCGTCCCACGATGATATGAAGCTATTGCTACCATATATAACTGG